GAACAAAATCTTTTTAAGTCCATAAGGTCTTTGTGCTTGTCTGCACTAATTGGCAAATAATCTTGGTAAGCAAATCTAGGCAATTCAAATTCATTGCTATATTCCGGTTGATTCGCTCTTCTCTTATTCAATATGGGTGACTTCTTCCATAAACTCGATGAAGAATGAACCTGGGATGTTCTCTCACACTCATTATTTCTCTTTGGGCCTGGATTGGAAAAGAGAAGCTTATCATGTACTGATTCTGAAAAAAATCTGTAAATATCCTTATAATTTCACCCTTACCTACTTCAATAACTTCAGAGGATTTGGGTCTTTGGCGACTTATTTTTAACAAGTCATACCGTTGGTATGGGACTTTCATGTGAGTTTTTAAATTGATCAGGCCCATATTCTTGTCCTACATTCTTCAACAGATTTGACAGCATACAGGCAACTGAACAGACAGATCTCCAAATGCATGCGGCGGGACTTACGCAACTTCAATACAGCTCGTATTGAAGAAGCGATCGAGCGGAACCAAGGCTCCAAAGTCTTTGCCAGAGATCTGTCTGCCAGAAAGAGCCAACTGTCAAAGCTGAAGACCGAATGTGGCAGCATCGTTTCCGGGGCACCTGAGATTTTGAGTGAGATTGAGAGGTTCTATGGGCAGCTGTACACGTCATCGTTGGAGCCGCACGCAAGTGTGAGTAACGATCCAAGAGCGAGTCTTATCCGACATTATTCCGATGATATCCCGGACGTCAGTCTGAGCGAGATTAGAATGGCTCTCCAGCACCTTAAAAACGGCAAGGCCCCAGGCGAGGATGGAATTACAGCGGAGCTTCTGAAAGCGGGTGGAAAACCGGTACTTGAAGTCCTTCAGAAGCTCTTTAATTCCGTCCTCCATGGTGGCATTACACCGGAGGCGTGGAGCAGAAGTGCGGTGGTCTTGTTCTTCATGAAAGGCGACAACGCTCTCTTGAAGAACTACAGACCGATTTTCCTTCTGAGCCGCGTACTGTTTTCGAGAGTCATTACGAATCGTCTCGCGCGCAGACTTGATGACTTCCAGCCTCCCGAACAAGACGGTTTCCAAAAAGGCTTTAGCACCATAGACCACATACATACCCTTCGGCAAATTGTACAGAAGTCGGAGGAGTACAATTTGCCACTATGTCTGGCGTATGTGGACTATGAGAAAGCCTTTGATTCCGTCGAAATTTGGGCGGCCCTTCAGCGATGCCAAGTTGACTGTCGGTATATCGAAGTGTTGAAGTGCTTGTACAGTAGGGCTACGATGGCTATCCGAGTACAGAACCAGAGAACGAAACCTATCCAATTGCAGAGAGGTGTAAGACAGGGTGACGTCATATCCCCGAAACTCTTTACCACTGCATTGGAAGATGTTTCCAAGCTTCTGGACTGCAAAGGATACGGTATCAACATCAATGGCGAGTACATCACTCACCTTCGATTTGCCGACGATATAGTCCTTATGGCAGAATCGCTGGAGGACCTAAGCACTATGCTCAATGACCTCAATAGTGTTTCCCAACGGATAGGTCTTAAGATGAACATGGACAAAACAAAGATCATGTTTAATGTCCATGTCACACCTATGCCGGTAGTTGTTGGGAACACTAAGCTTGAAGTTGTTGACGAGTATGTTTACCTGGGACAAATAGTCCGACTAGGTAAGTCCAACTTCGACCGAGAGGTCAATCGACGGATTCAACTCGGTTGGGCAGCGTTCGGGAAATTACGGCACATCTTCCCGTCAGGCATACTTCAAAACTTGAAAACGAGACTGTACACCCAGTGTGTGTTGCCAGTGATGACATACGGAACTGAGACGTGGTCCTTCACTGCTGGCCGGATGAGGAAACTCAAGGTTGCTCAGCGAGCTATGGAGAGGGCTATGCTCGGAGTTTCTCTGCGTGATAAACTCAGACAGGCGTGTCACTTTGTAAAAATCTGAGGTATGGAAAATGGTGGCGCGATTTTCAAATTTGTTCGCATTACTCGTGGGGTATTAAGGTTTAAGAGTTTGCAGTGTATATACTCAACTTATTTATTGAACTATAAGATGTGGGGTATTGAGGTTTAAGGGCTTGCGATTTATTTATATGGGGTTTGTAGTAATATGCGATTTATTTCCTAATTTCAGCTATGGAATTCCATACCTTGAAAAACTTGAGGTATGGAGTGCTCCATACCTTCCATAGTGGAAGTGACACCCCTGAACTCAGAAATGAGGATATCCGCAGTAGAACCAGAGTGACCGACATAGCCCAACGGATTAGTAAGCTGAAGTGGCAATGGGCCGGCCATATAGCTCGAAGAACCGACAACCGATGGGGAAGAAAGGTTCTCGAGTGGCAGCCTCGTACCGGCAGGCGAAGTGTAGGGCGTCCCCCCACTAGATGGAGTGACGACCTGGTAAGATATGCAGGAAGTCGATGGATGCAGGTGGCTCAGGACCGTGCTTTGTGGCATTCTTTGGGGGAGGCCTATGTTCAGCAGTGGACTTGTGAAGGGCTGTAATGATTATGATGATGATGATATTCTTGTCGCATTCTAAATACGAATGTCCTCTAATGGGATATGTTATTTTAATGGAGTCCAAAATGTTCATTACATGGACCACAAAATGAATGAACACAGTATAGTTCTTGTTTTGTCCTCCTGCAGAGACACAAAAAATTTCTAAGTGCTTAACACGATGATCTAAATGGTGTTTTTAAGTAGTGAAATAAAATTGACAATTTTTTATTCATCTAATTCTACCCCATTAAATACATGTGCAAAAAACATCGATAATGGCCAACATCGATGTTTTGAGTAGGATAAACATCGAACATTGATGCCATCATCGATATTTCTACAACATCGAGCATCCCTAATCTGACATTGACAGTTGGACATTCCATATTACGTTCCGTTTCACTAGGGACATTCCCACTTTTACACATGTATAGGGTTTTAAAATATTGAAGATATGAAGGACTATGATTGTTTTTATGCTTTTTACATAATGCTACATAGAAATACGCGTGAAAACCTAAGTGTTGCTGTACTTAATTTAAATTTGAAGTTTTTGTAACATTCCTTGTTTTGCCCCTGTACCCTTACAGGTCTTAGACAGTGTATACAGGTCTTTCACAGATCCTAATAATGCCACACAAACTTTATATGTATTCCATGCGATAAGCAGCCGATTAATAGGTAGAGCAGCACATTTGTTAAGTGAGCGTGATGATATTAATTGTTGGAATACTCATAAAGATATTTTAATTCAACATTTTGGCGATCCGCGTTCGGAAGATTGCATAGCTATAGAGTTAGAACAAATGAAAATTAAGTCTGGCGAATCATTTATCGATTTTTATCATAGGATACAACATGTGCGTAGTACCTTATTCGCAAAAGTCAATCCAATACAAGATGAAGGAGTAAAAGCAGCTAAAATGATAGTGTATAATAATATGTCACTAAATGTATTCCTTTATAAGTTACCTGAGGATTTAATTCGTATCGTGCGTCTTAGACAGTGTACTAGTTTAGAATCCGCTTTAAGTGTCGTAACCGAGGAAGTGAACTTCATGAACCAATATAACGCTAAAAATAAAACGAAACAGAATACAGCATCCCAAAGTTTCAAACCCCAACAAACTGTTAATATTTTACCTAATAATAATCGATCGTATTTTACATTTGCAAATCCACAATTTGAACCACAGAATAAATTTAAATTTGGTATCCCACATCAGCAACAAGGTAAAAGATTTGTTGCTCAAAATAATTTTAATAATGACCCAAGATTTAATAATAATACGGGACCAGAGAACTTTAAGTTTGGTACTCCAAACCAGCAATTTAAATTTAAATTTGGCATACCTCAACAACACCAGGGCTTTGAGCCACCCATGAATAATCATGCGCGACCCCCACTAGCTTTTACAAATCAACCTCAAAATAATTTTAAATGGTATACCCAATCAGGATTTCCAGAAACAAAATTTAAATGAAAATACCCATGTCTATGCGTACCGCACGTCTGCTATAGTTCGGCCGTTCAGAGAATGCGTTCCTGACACGTCGCGATTGAACTGACGACGTAACTTTGTAATGGCGTTGCAGTTACGATAAAAATATTTTTGCTGGTTGTTTACCGTTTTAACAATTGATGAGTATTAAAACAACATTATTATATCAATAATCAATGAATGTTATAATTTTGTGCCAAACTGAGTGTCAAATAACTTGGTAAACAATATTTTTCTAAATCTATACTGCTCTATTACAAGGTTATGTCAGCGCTTTATATTTGTAGTGCTGTGCTAACAATAACAGGCAATAACAGTATCGTAATCTGTTCTTATACAGTTATACTTTATAAAATAATACGTTTTGTTTTTCTTTTTAAGAATTTGAAAATAATGGACTATAAGATAACTTTTATTAAATATAAAAATAAAACTACGACCAAACCGAACGCGCGAAAGAAAGTAGCATTTTTATATTTAGGTTGAAAATGGTAACCCCAAATGGCGTTATGGGCCGCCATTTTGTGACCCTAAAACAGTCGTCTGTTGACGTTTCGTGCGCATAGACCACGTTCTTCAAGCGTTTTCGATCTGTTTTTATTTGATTACCCGGCTTTCGTTTAATGGACTGTTTCTGCTTTTCAAACTGACATCGGCGCTATATCGGATTTCGATTGTGTTTTGTATTGCGTTCTTTTTACTTTTGGTGCATAATAATGCCTAAACGTGGACAAACATTGAAAAGTGGAGCCCGTGAGTTAATCATCAAGCTGCAAGATTACTTTGAGCGGGAGCGGCAAAATGGCGGACCCCTGTTACCTGTCGAACAAGTACAAGAACGCGTCTCTCAGGCGCTTGGAGTTAGCAAACGAACGATAACAAATATTAATAAAGAAAAGTTCGGCTCTACTGGCACGGAAGATAATATTTTACGTACTCCGAAGAAGATACGTAGAACTAAACTCGTGACAGATATTGACACTTTTGACGCCGATGCAATGAGAAATCATATATATGGTTACTATTCCAGAAATGAATATCTCAACAGGAAGAAGCTTTTGGCATCGTTAAGAGAAGCTGGACTGTTTAGCGGGGGTAAAACTGCTTTAACCAAAATCTTAAAAGATATTGGTTTTTCGTATAAAAAAACAGACAAAAGAAAAATTTTATTAGAACGATACGACATAATTTTAAAATGGATAAGTTTTTTGAGAGAAGCAAAAAATATTGATAACTGGGATAATGTCGTGTTCATTGACGAGACATGGCTTAACGCCAATCACACGGTTTCCCGTTCTTGGACGGATGATACACAAGCGTTGACGTCGAAAGTACCGATGGGTAAGGGGGCCCGTCTGATAATATGCCACGCAGGTTCTGCAAAATACGGCTTTGTGAAGAACGCGTTACTGGCATTTCAATCAAAAACCACAAATGACTACCACGAGGTAATGAATGCCACTACATTTAAAGAGTGGTTCCAGAACGTGCTTTTGCCCAGCCTACCAGAGCCTTCTGTAATATTCATGGATAATGCCTCCTATCACTCGGTTCAAATACAGAAACCACCTACCCAAGCTAATAAAAAAGAAGAAATGGTGGCTTGGTTACAAGCAAAAGGCATTGACGCAAATATGCAGATGCTAAAACCAGAGCTAATTAAATTAGTGAAAGAAAATAAAGCGGCAAATGTGCGATACGAAATCGATGAACTCGCTCTGGAGTACGGTCATCGCGTTCTAAGGATTCCACCGTATCATTGCCAATATAATGCGATTGAGCTAATCTGGACTCAAATAAAAGGTTACGCCGCCCGCCACAATACTTCCCCGCCATTCAGCACGAAAAAGATAATGACCGTATTAAAAGAAGCCTGCGGGGAAGTCACAAGAGATGACTGGGCAAAGGTTGTTGAGAAGACTAAAAACCTGATTGTGGAACATTTTGACCGAGATATCAGGATTGATTCTGTTATTGATAATAATATAATTATACATGTAGGCGAAGATGATGATGAAGACACCACCTCCTCAAGCGAATTGGAGTCTGATTAATATTCTGTACGCACATTTAATCCAATGTACTTTATTGCATAGAAATACAGATTGTAACTTTGTAATAAAGAATAAATAAAACAATTTTATTATATTAATATTACCTTTTTTGCTTTCCACTTAAATTACTAAAATATAAATTTTAAATGATTCCGCCAATTTAAAACGAAAATAATCTTAAAAATAACGCGGCGGTTCATTTTGGAGGAACGGTAACGAACTCAGTGTTATGTTGTGCCCATCACTAGTCGTGACTAACTGATAGGTGTCAGGAACGCATTCTCTGAACGGCCGAACTATAAGACAAAATATGCTAGATGACTCTAGGGTTCCCCAAGATAACGAGATATTCTATAGTAACGAACCCGAGATACCCGTGAAACATTATAACCATGATATAAATTAAAAAAGCCTCCGATCCACCCCCGAAATGATACAAATAAATTGTGATACAATTTTAAAACTCCCGCACATCTAAATACCGGAAATTGAGGCTCGTTTTATGATAGACACCGGGAGCACGAAATCTTTTATAAGTCCGGCTAAGGCAGAGCAATATTTCTCCGCTTTCAAATTATATGAACCTTTCGAAGTTATAAGTACGCATGCACGTAGTCAACAGAACGAAGCTATATATATCCCGCTCTTTAAAACATTTAAAAGTTTAGAAAAACATAAATTTTACTAATACGACGTCGATAGTAGATACGACGGTTTGATAGGTTCGGATCTTTTAAAACAGCTTGACGCTTCAATAGATATGAAAACCAAGTATTGCACACACGTGACACCAATATACCTATTATATATAAGCCCCCATACGAAATTATATTGGAACCAAGAACGGAAACGCGAGACAAGGTCCCAACGTATATGCAAAATGGAAATGCGATAATAGATTATGTCGATTTTGCTCAAGGTATTAGGATGCCAAGCGCTATAGTAAAATGCGTTGATTCGTTTGCATACATGGTGAAACAAAATTTCGTTGCCAACGCCTTATCCCGTGTTAAGGTAAACGCGCTGGGTGAAGGCCAAAAATCAATGAAGGTTAACGTGGATAAGGACGAACAACTGCAAAGACACATAGACAGCTTAATCGAAGAAATTCAAAGATTACAAAACAAGGACACAAGTCCGATGGAAATATCATCGGGTACGGTCTTCATCACCATATTTTATACCATCACCAACTAGTAGTACCATTTCAGCTCACGAAACATTTGATAACTCACACACCTTTACACGACACTCAGCACATTAAATAGATACCGATGGTATTCCAATTCTAGAGGAGGCCATAGATACTAAGCCTCATCAAATATTTATTTTTACGTGGTATAGAGACGAAAGAGCCGTTAAAAATTTATCGAGATAAAAATAAAAGATGCTCGAAGTCCATATTCCCCTAAATAGACCTGATCTAGTAAAACAATTCCTAAAGGAGTACATCAAACCTAAAATAAAACAATTCATTTACTTCGAGAACGACGCACATCGAAAACAATTTTCAGAGGCTGTAATTGAGTTATTTATAAAGGGCACGAATAAGGGTCTCTTATTAAAATTGTGACAGGTAATTTGGACAATGATGATGCCATAAGGTACGATGCTTTAATAAATGATGTAAAAGTAAATCAAGGTCAGCTAAATAGAAAAATGACAGTGGTCGCCGAAATGATGAAAACCTTTACTCGTACTAATGCTACAAATAGTACAAAATTCAATTTCATACAGCTGGATAAAACTCTTTGGGAAATGAGAAAACAAATTAATATAACAAACAACTCTCAAACGGAACATAATAGCTAACGTATATAATCTGTTTCTACATAATTTTGAAACTATATTTTTTTTATAGGATAAGGGTGACAAACGAGCACACAGTCCACTTGATGGTAAGTGGTTGCTGCGGCCCATAGACATCTACATCTATCCTCCATTCAAAATATATCAAACTGGATGAAATTGAAACAGCGGTAGCTTTTAGTAAACTAGGAACATTGCATCAGTCTATTATTGCCACCGATGAACTCTTGTCATTGTTAAAAATTATTGAACAAAGTGCTTTAATTATATAGATTTAAAAGTATATGCAAAGGAAAATCAAATAACCTTTATTCTAGTTATACCCCTAGTTGATTCGAATACATATGTATATTACAAAATTCTTCCTTTACCTACTACTAATTCCATGAACCAAACATCCCTTATTGTACCCAAATACCCCTACCTTCTGATGAAAGGGTTGAAAGCGCTGTCACTTCTTCACCCATGTAAAGAAATCGATGACTCACTGTTCCTGTGTGAAGAGGATTATTCATCCATGCTAGTTAAAGATAATTGTGTTACCAGCCTAATGAGTTTTTCAGCTAACACCACCCAATGCCAGCCCCTATTGGTAGAGTTTGATGATGATGTTTTTAACAGTGGTAGAGCTAAGCGGTAGCTTTTGCTGTCGCACGGATGGGCCAGCTCGAATCGGGGTGGTACCACGACCTCACAGAATACCAGCGTGAAGTAGAGGTTTACCTCTGCGTTGCGCTTGGTGAGTGTAGGTGGCCGGAGGCCCAATTCTTCCCCCCCCCCATCAACATGGTAGTGGAATTAAATAAAAAACTACCCCAGGAGGGTACCAGCACCCCTGGAGAATCCCTCGCTGAGCATCCACGATCAAACTACTTCACTCATGAGCGTGGGTGCTCAGGCTGCCCCGCGTATTCTGAGGGGGGGGGGGGGGGCAAAATTCCGCTCGCGACTAATGCTGTTCGGGGCAAGCGGAGCAATACAACCAAGGCGACCCCTGTCACGCTATTCGTGAATTTTTGCAACATCAGGGGACTTCATTCCAACCTTAACGCTGTCCATTACCATCTAGAGACGGCGAAGCCGGCCTTGCTCTTTTTAACCGAGACTCAGGTGTCCTCTCCGGCCGATACTTCATATCTCTCCTACCCGGGGTACAAATTGGAACACTCCTTTGTGCCCCGTGCTGGAGTTTGCGTATACGTCAGAGAGGACATCTATTTTCGAAGGTTCGGACCTGTCCATCCTATGGCTGCGCGTAGACAGCGACGACCATCCCCGCGTCTACGGGTGCCTCTATAGGTCCCATAGCGGTAATGCCGACACAGACCGACTCATCGACCACGTCCAAATGGCTGCAGACCCCGTGCTACAACAGGTCCCATCCGCAGAGATCCTGATACTCGGTGATTTTAACGCCCACCACGCTGAATGGCTTGGTTCTCGTTTAACCGAGTATGGTAGATCTGTCTATGACTTTGCTTTGGCATATGGTCTAACACAACTGGTTACTTCGCCTACGCGGATCCCAGATGTGGAAGACCATGTACCTTCCCTGTTGGACCTTCTGCTGACCTCTCATCCGGACGAATATCAGGTCTCCGTCGATGCTCCTCTGGGCTCTTCGGACCATTGTCTGATCCGAAGTACGGTGCCACTCACGCTCCAATCGCAGTTGCGATCTGCAGCTTGCCACCGTGTTTGGCACTATAGGTCAGCTGATTGGGACGGGATGCGGTCTTTTTTTGCATCCTACCCTTGGGGGCGGGTTTGCTTCTCACCGGAAGATCCCAGCGTTGTTGCCGATTCTGTTGCTGATGTGGTACTTCAGGGTATGGAACTTTTTATTCCATCCTCTGTGGTGCCCATCGGTGGCAGATCCCAGCCATGGTTTGGTCGCTCCTGTAAAATAGCATCACGCTATAAGCAGGAGTGCTACCGAGCCTGGGCTGACGCATCAACATCTCGGGATGTAAGCACCAGCGCACTTAAAAAGAAGTATAACTCCGCCTTCAGGTCCTTCAAAAGCGTCATTGCCAAGGCAAGGTCTGAGCACATCGGCAGAATTGGCGAGAAGCTAGTTCGCCTTCCTTCGGGAACCCGTGCATTCTGGTCTCTCGCCAAGGCTGTCCAAGGGAACTTCTGTCAGCCACCTCTTCCATCTCTGCACAGAGAGGACGACTCACTGGCCCATGCCGCAAAGGAGAAAGCCGATCTGTTGAGCTCTCTTTTTGCGTCCAACTCGACTCTAGATGACGGGGGGAACACACCGCCGACCATCCCGTGATGTGAGTGCTCCATGCCGGATGTGCGGTTTACACAGCGCTCGGTTCGCAAAGCACTCTTCTCCCTGGACGTCAGCAAGTCGAGTGGGCCCGATGGAGTCCCTCCCATTGTGCTGAAGACGTGTGCTCTGGAGTTGGCACCGGTTTTAACGCGTCTTTTCCGGTACTCCTAATGATATGTTCCTAACTAGTAGCATTCATTGCTATGCAGACGACAGCGCTGGTGATGCCTTATATACCGACCGTGCCAATATTTCTCGGGAAAACGTCGCTAAGTACCGGGACAAACTTGTGTCTGAAGTCGAGTCTTTGCTTAACAAAGTCTCGGATTGGGGCCGACTAAATCTAGTCCAGTTCAATCCCCAGAAGGCAAAAGTTTGCGCGTTTACCACTAAAAAGAACCCCTTTGTCGTATCTCCTCAGTTTCAAGGCACTCCCCTTGCTGCCTCAGCTAGTATCGGAATCCTTGGCGTCGATATATGGAATAGTGTGCAGTTTCGTGGTCACTTGGAAGGGAAGGCCAAATTGGCCTCTAAAAAGCTTGGCGTGCTCAGCAGAGCGAGACAGTATTTCATGCCGGCACATCGCTTGCAACTTTACAAAGCGTAAGTTCGGCCCCACATGGAATACTGTTCTCATCTCTGGGCCGGGGCACCCCAGTGCCTGCTCCTTCCACTTGACCGCGTCCAGCGTAGAGCGGTTCGAATTATCGACGACCGAGTTCTTTCTGATCGGCTTGATTCACTGGCACTGCGTAGAGATGTTGCATCCCTTTGCGTATTTTATCGCATCTATCACAGGGAGTGCTCTGAGGAATTGTTCGGACTAATTCCAGCCGCTCAATTTCACCATCGCACATCGCGACAAAACTCGCGTTACCATCCATACCATCTGGATGATTGGTAGTCC